TTAAGGGGGATTTGTTCCAGGCAACACCGGGTTAGCAGCTAGTGTCAGATAGAAAAGGCCCGTGTACATCAGTTGTCCCAGGTCGTTGGTCATTTGCAAGAGATGAAAGTAATACAAGTTTTCCCTTGACCAGAACATCAGCACACCCCTTTCTCCAACTTATATGGATGTCATTCAGAACAGTAAACATACTTCGAAGAAAATACTGAATCATTTTGCGGAGTACGTATTTGACCTGGTGATTTCAAATCAAGGGCACAGAACAAATTTATTCGATTCACACTATCTTGATTTTGCACTGCCTTACCAGGAGTTTCTACTCTGTGCTCTGCTCCCCTCACCCACCCCCATTCCTAAGCTAACGTGTATATAGTGTGATACTGCAGCTCCTCTGGGACTTGCAAAAGAGCAGGCACGCGATGTGTTTCAAATCACATCAATTCAGTGTATTATTATGCTTTTGTGCCTTTGTGCATTAAAAGGGGGGAAATTAACGAAATCTAGATCAAATGACCTGTGCACGTTGCATTCTGGAGGAACAGTAAACTTGAACAAAAAACTTCCAGACGGCCAGGTAACTTTGGTCACCCTTGGCAACTGGGCTTCATTTTTGAATAATGTCTAACAGATGTCTAATGCAATACCCCAAGCCAACTGTCCTCCAGGGAAAGCTGTTAATGTCACTCTTTCTGGCTTACCCTGGAAGAAATGATTTGCAGAATAATGATCTTCCAAATTTTGTACGATGATGCTTTTTGTATCATTGCTCCTCTAAAGGGAAAGTCCTTTGGGAGAAAATTAAGTATCATTAAAAACAAAAAAAAATGTTTGTTCCTCTCTACATTTCCAGTATATCACATGATGTGTTTTCCTTTTTAGTTTTGAGCACAAGTGTTATGCAGAACTAATGGTGTTACAAGAAAAGAGAGAGAAAGCTAACAGAAAGTTCAGAAGGTTCGTTTTTCAAACTTTTTGTTTTAAAAAAAAATATTCAGATTCCTTTAAAATTGAAGATCCTTTGGGGGGAAAAAGCCATCCTGTCCTTCAAAACGTATGACATCTGGTGGTTATTTATCAACTAAAGTTAGTCATTTAAAAAAAATGCAAAGATGCTGCAGAGGAAAACTTAAGATACCTTTAGAAGTATACTGAAAACCTCTCCAAAGGGAGGATTTGAGAATTTCACATTCTTTCCTTGTTCATAATCCCCAATACATTTAAACTTTTCCAAGGACCATTTATTTACACCAGGCCTTCTCAAAGTGTCACCAACT